AAGATCACCTTCATTGAATGGAGCAGTCAAGCAAAATTTGGTAATCCTTCAATGTAATCTGTACTCCTGATAAGTGGTGCGGTCAATGAATATTATTGAGGTATGATGCCATCTAACCTGTTTTGTTACAGAATTCCCTGAGAAGAGAGACTTTGCTAACACCACAAGTAGTACACATGTGAGTTACAGAATTACTAGAGAAAGAGATAGACATTTAAGTACATATACATCATTAAATATTGTTTATTCTGTTATTATTAGCTTACTATTCCAATGTGTACAGGAAATGCTGAAGTATATCTTCCACTAACAGTTTCCATAACTTTCCTTGACACAAGTCTAAACAAAATATATCATCAACGTACTGTACATGTACAAGTTGCATATTATCAATTGCAGCTATTGTACAAAGTAAAAGGTAAAGTAAACATACACTGCATAAGGCTTTGATCATGATAAAGGCACTGCAATGGCTCCATACATTAATAGTAACATAATACAGTCATTACATGTTCATATACATGTAGAGTGAATGCACATTATGCTCTGTATGTCACACATGCTGTAAAAGATATACATGTAGCACAATACCTTTTCCAGCAGATGTAGTTTTAGTGACTGGACCACTAGCACCACCACCACCACTTCCTCCTCCCTTCTTCTTTTTGGACTTCTTTTTTGTGGCAGCAACCTGAGAGGGAGACAGAGAGAAAGGACCAATGATACAACAGGAGAGTAGGAGACAATAGTACTGTACAGTACTTACTTCATCGGAAACAATCTCTTCAGTATCAGTCTAAAAAATTAAAAAGAGCAAAGTCAAATAATGACAAAATTAAAGTTACATGTACATGATGTACAAATGTATTGTTAGTGTACTATTATCACTGCATATCTTACTAGTAAACAGTTGAGGAAATAAGCCACTTTGGCTGACACACGGTTCAATGGAGTCGTTAATAAAAGCTTCCTGAATCTCTTCTTAGTATCATCTTAGGAACACAGATCCTCTACGAGATAATATAAATGTACATGCATATGCAAACATACAAGTATAGTGTCATTAATATGTAAAATGATGGCAGATCTGTGTGGAGAAATTGCTGATACAGTACGTCCTCGATTATCAGTACCTCTTTTATCCAAACCCTTGTTTATCCAAACGCATGGCTGCCTCTAATGCCCATGCTCAGACTAGTTAATTTATTAATAACCAGTTAAAATGGCTGCTGCAGCAAGAAGCTTACGGAGCTTAACAAGTGAAATACCATATACTGGGAAATTTTTGAGAAGCCAAATTTTCGCAAATTTCACGTTTTTTGCTTCGTCGCAAAAAAAAAAATCGCGAAATTGTAAATTTCTAGTGCCACGTGGTGGAGTCTACAGGCTACTTGCAAAAATATTATGTCATGAAATCTTACAAATGCAAAATTCGTGAAAATTTAGCAATGCCAAAATATCCCAGTATACGGTACCATTAAAGAGAAGCCTGAGATGCTCTGGGAGTTAGAGAAAGGAAAGTGATACTCATTCAATTTTCAAAAAAGTATAGGATAGGTCGGCCTACTGTATTCTGTCCTGTATTTCACTTATCCAGACTATAGAGGATATGCGTGCTAGGTATATTCATAACTTTTAAGTACCGTGTATTCAACCCACACAGTAAATTGGCCGCCATGTTGGATATCAATTTTATTAAGAGTTCAATGGGGGAAAACTCATATTCTTGCCTAGCTACCTTCTTGAGGCCTTTTTCAGAAGCTTAGAAAGCATACTGAGGCTCTAATGGGTCTAGTAGTCACCTAAAA